CATGTTTCATACTTTGCTCAAATCTAATATACCCTTTTTACCCAACGGGTACAGGGTATAAAAACAAAGGCCCGCGACATGTGGTCGAGTGTTGGTGGCGTCAACGTCGCCATTGACTAGTTGACTGTCGGTGCCGCCGTCGCCGGCTCGAAAAAGAGCTCGGCGTTATTATCAATGTGTATCGAAAAAGGAAAACAAGAAAACCTGAAAACAATGGAACACTTGTCACCTCAAGTTTACATATGAGTACATTTATTTGTACACTTAAGCAGCGCACCGCAGCGCAGCGCGTGATGATTAGAGACAGTGGCAGTGGCCGAGGCAGGGTCGCAGATACGTAACTTCGAAATTTTAGCAAATGGGCACCGAGTAGTGCAGATTGTATCTATCAGATACAACACACTCGTATGCCTGCCGGCCTCTGCTGTAAATGTATGCGGGCTTCTCTACACATGTACTTGTATACGAGTATGTACTTGTATCTAAACACAAAAAACGCAAACTTCTTTACTTGATCTGCTCACAAAGTGGCAGCCAATTGGCGCTTGCCTAGCAATTTAATTGAAATTAATCAGACAGCGTAGTTTTTAAATTGTTAGTGAGCTGCTTGTGGAGGGGGGCGAGAGTGTGATGGGAAGTGGCATTTGCTCATCACTTAACGATTGCCGTTACTGTTGCTTATTCAATTTCAATTCTGAATCGTTGTCATTGTCATCGTGAGTGGATCGCGAGCCAAAGCAATTTAATTGTGACAATGAGAATTTATTAACAAGTAATACACATCCATACATCTATATATGTATGTATATACATACATATATATATATATTGGCCCTCCCAATGCACGCCATTCACCGGCGTCATATAATGATTGCGCATTTTCTTCGAAGGGGCTTGAAAAGGTAAGCCCCAGCAGCAGCAAGTTGGAGTAAAATTTAAAAAAAATGGGTTTACATACATACATTTATTATGGATTACCAGCATCTCAAGAGCTCGAAAAGATTCAGATAGAATCATACACACAGTACATATGCACGTTAGTTTCGTAGGGCGATAAGCAGAAGTTAACTGCCATGGAAAATTTACATTCGCAAAAGCTTATACCAAGAATTCATTTCTTCAAAACTGATCTTTCCATGACAGCGAACATGTAGATAGATTTAGCAGATTTGGTTAAAGCCCGCGCATATATTGTTTTATATAAAATCACAACATTTCAAATTTGATTGAGATTTCATACCCTGTTCGCCAGAATATGAATCGAGTATAGTTTATGGGAAACTGACTAGTTTACATAAAAAAGACTGAAGGGGCTCTATTGATAACAGGAGGCCTGATTCGCCTCCACCTGGGCGTTTTTGAATATTACAACAATATGTATATCCATTGCAAGAAAAATATGTACATATATTAATCGATCCTGCGATCGAGTGATGAGAGGAAAGTTGCAATTCGGCTGTTCCCCAGTTTCCCCAGAATCATCAACATGCTGAAATACTTGTATGTAACCCTTTGTTACCGACCGCATAGTATTTCAGGTCCTTTGAGCAATATTTGTACTTTTCGCACACTGCTCTTAGTTTGTGGCCCGAAAATCCTAACAGAGTCACGATCCATGCACTCCATTGGTACACGTTTTAGAAGTGGCGACAGCAATTTACTTTTCACCCACCTGTTTGCTGTTTATTATTTTTTTAAATTTGGAAAGGTCTTTCTATTGTTGAAGCTTGGAAACACCTGAATAACAAGCTTACCAATTTTTGGAGAAATATTTTTCTGTGATGGCTAAGAACAGCAATTCAACCAATTTTTATGAAGAATAAAAGGCTTGTCGTTCAAACTGTCTAGAAAATGTCAGGGGAAATGGCTATACAGAGATACAGATGCAAAGCTATACGAAAAGGCTTTATTTAAAAGGGATCCAGCACGTAGAATACAGCTGGCTTACCTGCTTTTAGCACAAAGTATGGTTTTCTCTTAGGTAGTTTGGAAAATGTTTGCAGAGTTGTTCCAAAGAGTTGAAACAGCCGACGATGTCTGCTTTGAAGAAGCTTGTATTGTCAAGACACTTCGCTGGATTTCATTCACCCATCCCCATATTCGGCCAATTATGTAGTTGCGGATGTAGTTATGTAAGCAGAATTCCCATACTTATGTGTGTTGGCTTATATCGCACGGATCGTATTTGAATTTCGAGGCAGCGGTTATAGTCGTAGTCAACGCGCCTCTCAGTAGTGGTGTTATTGTGTTATTATTTTGTTATAATCGCTATTTATAGCAACATTCTGACTATACACTGCTGGCTCATTTTGGCATTGGTGGCTACTCGTACGTAGCCTCACAAGCTGGTGAACAGCGGGCCGCCACTGCCACCGCCACCGCCACCGCCACCGCCACCACCGTCGCCACGCTCTGTTCGTTGGCCTCCGTCGACAATACAGAGTACGGTATTTCAGTCGAAAGCCACAAAATAATCCCAGAGCTCGTCAGTTGCACATGTGTCGCCTTTGTGACTGACTGACTGACTCTCTGATTTCCACTGCCGGCCCGTCCAACGAGAATCCCCGAACATTCCCGACCCTCGTTCCTGTTTTTTATGCATTTAATGCGTCTTTCAAGTAATTTCTGGGCAAATGCATAGCCGCTTCAAAAAGTGTTTAGCTGCGAGTATACCCCGCTTAACCAAATACACTCACGTACTACTACTTCAAATAAACTGTGGGCAAAGCGCATTTGAGAGATTCGTTTCGTTTCCAGCGATTGGGTCGCCGAAGAAAACAGAAAGTAGAAACCAAATACTCGTATGTCTGCTGGAACTGAAACCCAATCCAGTGCACTCATCTACATAAATAAACAGTTGAGATGCGAGTACACTAATTAGTTAGGCAGCTCTAAAAAAACTTGGGTATGCGACTGTCAAAGCTGATTTGATGTTTGGGCCCATAATGACACACCACGACTCGAAACGATTAGTATTTTTAAAAAACTATGAAGTACCCGAGTAATGCAAAATTTGAACACTGGGAACCCATCATCAGTTGAATATAAATGCCAGGAAATATACGACAAATGCTCCACTTTACATTAGTACTATATTTAATTATGTATATATCATAAAAAAATTAATTTTTTTAATTTGTTCAAACTTTCAGTTATGAGAGACTGACTGTTTAGAATGTTATAATTGTCTTGAGATTTAAATTTCAATCTTAGTACCAAAAACTTGTTTCTTCACTACGATATGGTAATCAAAATTGGCCTTTAAGTATGTACATACTTACATATATGTTCAGTAAACACAAGTTTTAGTTCCAGTATTGTGGGGCAGAGGAGGGAGGGTATTGGGTATACAAAAGTCGGGCTGGCGCGACTTTAACTTTTCCCTCCATTTTTTAAAATCAGTAAAATCAAATATCTTTTCCCATAGCATGATCACATTTAAAAACAACGATAATCGTTCAGTCCATGGCTTAATTAGGAATCGCACTCATTCATAAAAAAAGCATTACAAACTGTTGAATTATCGACACAAAAGTAAACATTTTGGCAATTCCGATAAAAAGTTCTCGGTATATACATATACAGACATTTATGCGCATGTAATATTTTTCACATGCTTAGTATGTATGTGTAATGAAAACAATTTCAGCTCTAGTCGGAAACTCTATAATTACGGGGGTACGTCATAAAATGATCTAACATATAAAACTCGTATTATTTTGCCAAATCATGTTCGTGTTATTGCAAACTATAGGGCCACCTCTTTAGATATGTATATATTTGTGGAATCAACGCACTCATTAAACTATCACTAACCGGATTGCATATCGTGACTACGATGTGACGTAAAAGTCCACAGCTTATCGCTTCCGCATGAGGCTTTGATTTGTTTGCTCTGCCCTGTTCTGTCTAGTTCTCTTTGCACTTATCTATTTGCGCTCGAGACTCATCGTAATCGATGACAATTATTATTGAGTTTAGTATTAAGTTTGTATGTACTACGCTTAACCACGTCGTAAGCTTCTTCATCATTGTTCGCCTAATAAGTAGTAGCTTGGACTCGGAAAAGTGTATACGTGTGTAATTCGAGTATTTCAATCGAAAATCGAATCTCTGATTCCCTTAAATCCATATAAATGTCAGTAATGTCCTTCTATTCCAATACTGTTAATTCAAACATATTAATCTTATAAATGTACACGTACATATAGTAAATCTCCCAATATGGATACGATACGAAATCGCCTACTTATTTATTATTTCGATATATACATATATACGAATAATTAATGTAGCATCAAACATTAGTTTCAAGTTTTGATTGCCTCTTAAAATAAAGAGATACACTTGATTCTACAAGTATTTATTCATAAATGTACAGCTAGTACGTAATAATTATAATTTACACATAAAATGTATATAGTATAATGCAAATTATTTTTCTTCTTTACTCTTTCAATATTTCTGTGAGTTTATACATACATAAGTACAATAATAATGTCACTGATTTTACAAAGATGTTGTAGAGGAAATTGACAATCAGATGAAATTGTCATTCTAGTGTAATAAGTGTCAATCAATTGTTTTTGTTTTTGCGTCTCCGCTGGCATTATTGCAATTATTATTTGAGGCCGCTATTTGCATAAAGAAATTTGAATAACATGACCCACCCTAATGTGCCCATCGGGCGCATCAAGCTAGAAAGGACAGACAGGATAGGTTTGCTTGCTCGTCTACCACGTCAGAGGCAATATAACATCGTTATAAATACATACATATGTACATAAATACGTATGTACATACATATGCATGTAATTCAATTTACTCCATTTTAGCCAGACGGCTGGAGTTTGAGAGGCAAGGCAAGTAAAAAAAATAAAATATGAAAGTAAATATGCCTTGAACTTTTTTCGGTTTTTCTATTAGAATTATCAGTAAAACATATGTACATACATACATATAAAAAGTGTTAAATTTAAGAGTCAGTTGTTCAAACTTACGCGTCACTGTGATTATTTTTTATACGATATTGCTGTTGTTGCCGATATCCCGTTCGCCGGCTTAGTTAAGTAGTGGTTGATAGTGTTATTGATGCTGTTGTATGTTTGTTTGTTTATATGCATTTATTTTTACATATTTTAGTATGTGATTTGTATAAACAATACATATGCCTACACTTTTTACACTTTCTTACTAACTTTATCAAATTTACCAGAATATTGGATTATAAATACTAAGTTTTAATTTCTATTCTCACACTTTTCACTTTCATGCTCACAGATGTCGCTACAAAAAAAATTGTTTCGTATGGTTTCATAGGCGCATAGACAGATGGTACACATACTCGTGCATACATACATGCACGTACTTATATATGACTTCTTGTATAGAATTGCTAATACAAATTAATAGAAAGAAATAACAAGAAGACAACACGCAACAAATGAGAGTGAGATGATGTCGGCGTAGCAACCTCCCGCTGTTGCTCTTGCTGCTATGGGAGCTGTTCGCGCGCTGTTCCACGGTCTTAACTGTTACGCGTCGAACACACGACTTGCTTGGCAGCAGGCAGCGCTGCTCTGCTTTATAGAATTTTTCATTTGCTATCGGCAATCCGCGCGTACGCACACTCACACTCACTCACACAAGCACAAACGAGTACATACATACGAGTATGTAAGCAAGTGTACGTTTTGACGCAGGCAGCGGAGAGCCCAAGAGCTGTTGCTGTTGCTGTCGCTGTTGTGGTTGTTGATTGTTGTTAAATGTTGCTGGAAGAGCATAGGCAGCGAGGGAGAACAGCAGCTACCAACAACAACAGCTCTTGAATGGCCGCCTGTTGCATTACCTGGCATCGCCAGCTTTCAGAGTTCGCATTTGAATCCTTTGCGCTTGAGTTCGAGTGTGTGCCTACCATCCGATAGCAAGGCGCAGAGTGCGTAGGCAGAAGGAGAGACAGGTAACCAGACAGATACATGTATGTGCGGGCAGGGTGGTTGGCAAACAGGGGCCCATAAAATTCAGGAAAGTCAATTGCCATTTGGGAATTGGCGGCTCTCTCACTTATCACGATGGTCACTGGTCTCTCATCAGCCGACAACGGGATTGGGAGGAATTACATTAATTGTGTTACCCTATGCTGACTGTCAAATGTTCCACTTTGATTTTACCGTCTCCTCAATGAAAAGGCCAACTGTTACTGGCGCACACGCACACACACACACCCATATCCTCATGCACACACTACACACTTAAGACATCACTAATTAGGGGCATAATTGGTTATACAGACGTAGACAAAGAGAACCGCGTAAAAGAATTTCAATAATTGACTAACGTAATAGTAGTTACAAATTATTATATTTGATTTGATTGATTACTGCATACGAGTGTTAGTAGAAAATGAAAAATGTATGTATATACAGCTACGAGGACTAAATACTCGTATTCCTCTCACTGTGTCTTAAAACAAAACTTTATTCCTCCATGGACATGGGCTGTTCCCGTGATAGCTGCTCTTTCAAAACTTTTTTTGCAATTAGCCATGTTTAACACCATCAGATATGACTACAAGATTCTCAATACCTATGTATGTATATAATTTGGTTCCCATATTTAAAAAAATAAAAGGATTTAGAAACAAAAAAAACTATTTTGAAATCGTATCCCATCAAAGGATGCAGTGATTAAAAAAGACAGAAGGGCAAGTGAAATTGGGGTTCGTCTCCTCATACTGATTACATTAGAATTCCGGGTGTTACAAACTTACAAATAAAAAACCATATGTTCCTTCATTTTTCAGTTAAGGTATAATAAAATAATATAATAACAACCCTTATATTCCTACGCTATAAGTGATTTCCCATAAGTCTCCCCAGGATTCCTAGAATTGTTAACTAAAACTTGGCAATTACACCCGATTAGGGCTCGTGTTGGGTCAATTGTAGATAAAGTTATAGTCATAAATTGGTGAAAAATGATTTATACCCTGTACACGTAGGGTAAAAATTGTATATTATGTTTGTGCAAAGTATGTAACAGGCAGAAGGAGGCATCTCTAACCAAATGAAGTTTATGTGTATATTCTTAATCCGTCTTTTCGTCCGTCTAGAAGAACGTCTGGATTTCGGAAACGGCTGAGCGAACATTTTCCAAATTTGCTTTGTAGACGCTCTTGGTTCCTAGTTAAGACAATTTTATTTTATTTGCAATCTATATACCATTATCTACTTTCCATCCAATTTCATCCAAATCGGTCAATTCTAAGAAAAGTTATCAGCAATTTCAGTCTAGTACTACGCCCACAAACTGCAGCATCAAGTTCGCCCTTCTTCTTCTGATGCTATGGGCGCATATAACTTAGTGCTGGAAGTTTGTCTAGGTACAGGGTTTTTCACGGTCGGACTCGCCCGACTGTAACGTTCCATCTTGTTTAATTTTGGGTACAGGGTATTTAGGAATTGGACACCGCTTGACTCTAGCATTCCATTCTGGTTCAATATTCATTTCATTGGAGTATTTCACCATTATTGATGCATATGCACCCTTAAGAGTAATAGTAGCCCTCATATGCTGATGTGGTAATACTTGAACAAATACATTTACTATACACTTTCAGTTTTTCTTTAGATGAATGCTGGAACTAAAATATGCATTCACACAAGTACATTTCCAGTATAATATCAAATTACAACAATTTTATGAACAATTGTTCTTAAACTATGAGGAGCATAAAAATTCATACATACTTGTACAAGTATTTAAAATGTTTATTATTGTTGCCGACCTATACAAAATACACATAATGTATATCTTCAGCATTGTGAGATATGAGCCAATTGGAAAAACAACATTAAAGGCTTCGTGCAATGCGTTATCGAAAATAAATGCCAGCATGATAAAATATTCTAATAATTAAGTAATCAAATCAATTATTTTCATTCACCCCATGGAATCCAACAACTTTAGGTAACTGTGTGCTGGTTTTTCAACTGATCGCACTTAACTCTGCCCGATATTCACCCTCCTTCATTCATTTTAGGTTACTTATTAATTGTTAACTGTTATACCCAATAGCTCCTGGTAAACTGAAGAGTGCATTGTGACGTCTCATATAGTATACATGCATACGAAAGCTTTCAACTCTCTCCTGCAACTTTCAACTTCGCTCCCTTCTGATGTTATAATATTAAAAAAGCGAGCACACATGAACCTAAACTGAATATTAACTTTGCAACTCCAATAAAATGTCTACACACGCACACACACACATATACATGCATAAATAAAAACGTAAGAGGTGCATGTTTGTATACTTTTATGCATGTTTGTATACTTGTATATATTAATGTAAACAAATAAATAAATTAACAATAATCATATAATTTGTCATCATGACGGCATAAAATAACGAAATTGGAATGCTAGGTCGAGTGGGCTCAACTCTTAAATACCCTGTACCTCCCACCAAGAAGGAAAAAATGAATATTTCAATGAAAAATTCCAAGAAATACGGGACTTATGGAAAATCAGTGATTGCGAGGGAGAGGGGTAGGGAGGGCAATTCCAAAATACACATTTTCTGCGTATTCACATAAGTCATCTCACACTACAATTTGGTGTGCCTAGCTTTTATAGTCTCCGAGATATAGGCGATTATACGAATGGAAAATCGGGAAATCCCCCATAGGGAGAAGTGGGGGTACTCAAAAATATAGAATTTTTCATTTGCTATCGGCAATCCGCGCGTACGCACACTCACACTCACTCACACAAGCACAAACGAGTACATACATACGAGTATGTAAGCAAGTGTACGTTTTGACGCAGGCAGCGGAGAGCCCAAGAGCTGTTGCTGTTGCTGTCGCTGTTGTGGTTGTTGATTGTTGTTAAATGTTGCTGGAAGAGCATAGGCAGCGAGGGAGAACAGCAGCTACCAACAACAACAGCTCTTGAATGGCCGCCTGTTGCATTACCTGGCATCGCCAGCTTTCAGAGTTCGCATTTGAATCCTTTGCGCTTGAGTTCGAGTGTGTGCCTACCATCCGATAGCAAGGCGCAGAGTGCGTAGGCAGAAGGAGAGACAGGTAACCAGACAGATACATGTATGTGCGGGCAGGGTGGTTGGCAAACAGGGGCCCATAAAATTCAGGAAAGTCAATTGCCATTTGGGAATTGGCGGCTCTCTCACTTATCACGATGGTCACTGGTCTCTCATCAGCCGACAACGGGATTGGGAGGAATTACATTAATTGTGTTACCCTATGCTGACTGTCAAATGTTCCACTTTGATTTTACCGTCTCCTCAATGAAAAGGCCAACTGTTACTGGCGCACACGCACACACACACACCCATATCCTCATGCACACACTACACACTTAAGACATCACTAATTAGGGGCATAATTGGTTATACAGACGTAGACAAAGAGAACCGCGTAAAAGAATTTCAATAATTGACTAACGTAATAGTAGTTACAAATTATTATATTTGATTTGATTGATTACTGCATACGAGTGTTAGTAGAAAATGAAAAATGTATGTATATACAGCTACGAGGACTAAATACTCGTATTCCTCTCACTGTGTCTTAAAACAAAACTTTATTCCTCCATGGACATGGGCTGTTCCCGTGATAGCTGCTCTTTCAAAACTTTTTTTGCAATTAGCCATGTTTAACACCATCAGATATGACTACAAGATTCTCAATACCTATGTATGTATATAATTTGGTTCCCATATTTAAAAAAATAAAAGGATTTAGAAACAAAAAAAACTATTTTGAAATCGTATCCCATCAAAGGATGCAGTGATTAAAAAAGACAGAAGGGCAAGTGAAATTGGGGTTCGTCTCCTCATACTGATTACATTAGAATTCCGGGTGTTACAAACTTACAAATAAAAAACCATATGTTCCTTCATTTTTCAGTTAAGGTATAATAAAATAATATAATAACAACCCTTATATTCCTACGCTATAAGTGATTTCCCATAAGTCTCCCCAGGATTCCTAGAATTGTTAACTAAAACTTGGCAATTACACCCGATTAGGGCTCGTGTTGGGTCAATTGTAGATAAAGTTATAGTCATAAATGTAATCTCTGCCCATCCTATGCCAATAGCTTTGGTTCAACTCTGTACTGCACACATACACAACGTACATAGACATAGACATAGCCGCACATTTTTCTTTTTAGTGTTTTGGAAAGGAGTTGAGATACAACAATACCGTTTGAAAGAGCATGAAAATAGATAATAAACAACAACACTTTCCTTCCAAAAAAAAAAAAAAAAAAAAAAAAAAAAACGGGAGGTCTGAAGATAAATCTGCGGAATTAGAATCATTTGGTGAGCAATTCCTTGGTAAGCAATTCCTTGATAAGCGTTAACTTAAAAGTGTATCAATTGACCATTACACGTGCTTTGAAAAAGTCGGAAATTATAGTCAGACAGAAATTAAAGGTGACTTCAAGG